AATCAGTTGGTGCCAAATTGCAACCTGCAATGCTGCGATTATGCAGGAATCATATAGGTCAATTATTGATTTTCGTGCAGGGTCTGGCTCATAATATATACATTTAATAAATCCAATATAAAGAAGAGATGCAGTGCCGGCGCTACGGGGTGCCTACTTGGGCTCAAGCCCCGGATGTTTTCTGAAAACCCCCGGATGTTTCACTTAAAAAATAATAATAAAATGTTTTAACCTTCCCTGCCCTGAAGAAGAAGTGATCCTTCCTAGTGCCCATCGCCATATGGCTCTGCTAGTGCCTGACGAGTTTTAAGCTAATAGCCTATAAAGTTATTATGGATATTAGAAAGTTATTTTCATCGAAGCAGGCGCCACAAGCTGCAGCAGCAGCAGCAGTAGTATCAGCAGCTGACAACAATGTCATCACCAGTAGTGACGAAATGGATGATGTTTCAGGTTTGTGAATCTAATGGTGATATCTGCAGTCTGGCTGACTGAGTAAGAAGTGAAAAAGATGATGTAATGTTAATGTTATAGCTAGTAAACATGGAGTAACCACACTAATTATACCCGTATATGTTAGTATGTATACAGAACATGACTAAAAATTATCCTAAGATGTAACGTTAACCCTTCATACCTCAGTCTACCTTTAAGACACTAAAATAACGTATTCCAATTTTTATATTGTTTTGGAATTATACCGGCTCTCGTTTCAGTACACTTAACAACCATAGAACGGAATGACAGGCAACGGAACTGACAGGCAACCCTCTGAATCAGACTCCGATTGGCTGTGACTGCATCCACTCAGAGTGTCCGATTCAGAAACGTGACTCTTACACTCTTTACGTCACAAACAAAGATGGTGGATGAGAATAGATCTATAAAACGATAAGCAATGCGCCAGAATCAAGGTGAGACTATCCGCATCCTTTAAAACTCTACGCACATTCGTTTCACCGAAATAAGTAAACGACTGTATTTGAGTGAGTTAAGGCATTAGTTTGCTTCATTAAAGGATGTTAATGAATAAGTGTTCTCCAGTGCCTTTTGTCAGCTTTAAGGTATTATTAAGGTAGGGTTAATGTTGCTCTCAAAGTGCTCCAGATTGATGCTTTTAACTTCAATATTTAGCATGCGGACCCCCCTAAAGGAGGCGACAATCCCCCTAAAGGATGTTCGGTCCACCCCCCACTTGTAAAAAAATAGCACTTTACCCCTGCACCCCCCAACAACTCCTGGGCTAAGCCCCGGATCTCCTACAATCCTAAATCTGCCACTGAAGAGATGTGAGGCCTGGTGTATATTGAGCAAGTCGGTCAGAGTTTCCAGCGAGAATGCAAAGTTCCTCTCTCCCATTTCACGATTTTTGGTTTTTCATTTTCTGATGAAATAAATTGTGAATGTCTATAAGGGTATTCTGGGGGAAAGTATTCCTCCATACTGTTGGAACTGTCGCTTCCCTTTAGCCCTCCATGTCTATTATATCTTCCTGTTTCTGTGGCAAGGCTGTTAGCCTTTGTAACACAAAACAAGCGAGTTGATTATGTCTTAGATCATAGAAATGCACTGTGGCTCCATGCTTTCCTAGTAGGGCTCAAAACAACATATTGTTTGTAAAGGCTACGAGAGGTTTTAAAGAGCTTGAAGCACTGTGGTACTTTTATCTATTTTAATCATACAATGCTGCGTATCCATCTGTAATGCAATACACTGAACTACTAGGAAAGAAAAGGACTCCATTGTAGAAGGTAAACATTTTATTATAGTGTATCCACTCATGATACATCTCTCAACTTCCTTTCAGTCTGTGAAGAAGAGACAGTCATTGAGTGTTTCTGCCTTGATGTCAGTCAGGGATTTCTCTCAAAGTCAGTTATTCTCATCTGCTGAGGAAATTCTCCTACTGTATAAAGACACGGTATCAGGACACTGAGTGATGCTTTATATTGTTTCTGTGTGTGCTGTGTCTTCATTGCAGCCTAGGTGTACAGCTGTAACCGCAGGAGCAGGGCAGCTCTGGGTCAAACATGACCTATATCCGAATTTGTTTAAAGTAGATGAGAATTAATAAGAAGTAGATGGCAGTTAATTTAATGCTTACATAAATGAAGCCTGTGGAGAAGTCTGAAGTTTGACTTTGCACCAACACACAATAATATGTTTACGCACTTCTATTCTCAAGTATTGCATTAAAGCTTACAACCCTTCCTGAATATCTTTGGTTCATAAATCATTAACTAACTAGCTAGCTGCATAAGACATCAGCATGCATTATGCAGTTTGTAGATTTCATTCTGAATTTTTTTTTCTTCTGGTTTTTGTTCACATATTAGAATTTATCATGGTTTGATCTGCTTTGTTGTTTACTTGGCCCACAGATTTAATGTTTGTTTGGAGTTAAGGAGAAGCATAGCGGCACTATCCCACTAAAGCCATAACCGCATCTCCAACCTTAAGGTCAGCTCAGGTGTCTTGCATCCCACGGTGTTTAATTAGAATCATGTGTGTCGGTGAGAGATGAAAACCTGTTTAATTTTAGAAGAGGGCGAGGAAAACTGAGGTTTGAAGGATGATGGGTATCTGACGTGCAATTAGAACTCAACTTATTTTGCGAGGTAGAAACCTTTTTATCTCACAGTATCAGATAGAAATGGCTTAGTGATCAGTGTAATTATCATCAGATCTTGTTAGTCAAAAACACCCTGTTCATCATAATTATTATCAGACTCCATTTGTCGGAGGAACAATCTGATCTTTCTTTTTTCAAGCCTCCCCGACTGTGTTCCCGCCATCATATTCTTGTTCACGCTTTGATATTGTTTTCATGAAAGAACACCACATTTTACAGCAATTAACTTTTTTTTCCCGCTTATGTCTCACACAAACATGTTTTATCTTTTTGTTCTGTCTGGGCCTTGTCTTTTGTGACAAGACTAGTGGGGTCACATTTTGTGTGATGAAACATGTGATTTAGTATGGGATAAGATGTCTTTTATTTTTTATCTTTCTTGAGGAAAAAGTACAACTACTACACATAGCTGCATTCAATTTACAAAGCATACATTGCCAAAAATATATGTTTTACTCTGTTCTGACACCCATGTTGGCAATGAGTGTCACAAAGTATAAAGCCTCTGTCCTCTCTTCAGTCTCCACAATCGTACATCCTCAGCCTAGGGCAGGGGTCGGCAACCCACGGCTCTCGAGCCGCATGCGGCTCTTTAAGCCCTCTGCTCTGGCTCTCTTGAGCTTAGACAAAAATAAGAAGGAAATAAAATAAAGATATTTTTAGGACTATTTATATTTTGTTGCACGGTTGAACATGTTTCGTATCTTGTATTTTGAGGTGATACTGTGACACATAATTAAAAAACAAAACGGTTTTAATTAGGTAAACTAAAATATGCGCCACATTCTGCTACGGTCCCGCGCCATCGCCTTTTCTTGCAGGCGAATTATCTGACCCCCGGCTCGATGACCGAAATATGGATAAATCAAAGAAAATAAAAGTATCGGAGGAACACAGAGGGTTTAATTCTGCATGGACAGAGTTATATGCTTTCACAGAAAACAATGCTGGCTTACCGGTATATTTGATATGTGGAGAGAAGTTGTCAAAGTTGCTGCAGCCTTTACCTATTGGAGGAAAAACATGGAAGAGGAAGACAGCTGACGATATTCAGTCATAATTCAATCAGTTAACTCTTTTTAGGGTGCAGCTATATGTTTTATTTATTTCAAAGTGGGCCCATTTTAATTATATTCCTTTTTCTTCAAATGTGCAGAAGACTCTCCAAGTGCTGATTTATTTTAAAGTAGGCCTGTGTATTTTTTTTAATTCTCCTTATAAGAGTTCTCTGTTTATTATTAGAGGTAAACAGTTTTCTATAATGTAATAAATAATAAATGGTAAACAACTGTAGTTTTTGTCTATGATGTAACAATATATACAACTTTATAAGCTATCAAGCTATCAAATAGGTTTTACGGCTCCAGACAAAAATAAATCGGTGGAAAAGGGGGCAAAATTGCTCTTTTGGTCAAAAAGGTTGCAGATCCCTGCCCTAGTGGGACAGTAGGGTAGAATGCAGCCTGTCCTCCTACAAAAAACGACCATATAGGCCGATTGTTCATGCCCTTATTACGACCCAGAGCCACGTTTTAAAGTGTATGTTGTTTCTTACACGACCACTAGAGGTGCTCTAGTGGACGTGTAAGAAACAACATGCTCCCGGCCCGTCGGGCCGGGAGCATGTTGTTTCTTACACGTCCACTAGAGCACCTCTAGTGGTCGTGTAAGAAACAACATACACTTTAAAACGTGGCTCTGGGTCGTAATNTGTGAAATTTTACCAATATACTCACGGACCACTAGGGGGTGCTCACGGACCACCAGTGGTCCGCGGACCACACTTTGAGAAGCACTGGTCTACACGATCACTCTTGTAAACCAACCATTTTTAAAACTAATATTCCTCGTCATATTATTTGTTTTCTCCTGGCATCTCAAACTACGTGACCCAGAGTAATTTAAGCATTAAATAATAATGATTCAAAACTGAATACATGATATAAACAGCTGATAATGCAACGTGGCAGAAAAACCTTGATTTCTGTGACTTTAAAGGAATTCAGTAAACGTTATATTTTGTAGTTGCATTTATAGAAACTATTCAAATGTGGTGATAAAGTTTAGTTTTTTCTTTTTTTGTGCAGTTAAGGTACCTTGAAAGTGCTTGATTGTCCTCTTAAAATGCTGTACAAGTCCGATGTTTAATCTTTGTACCAATATTTCTGTCGTTGTTTCCCAGGTTGAGTACACTTACCCCGCACAGTCTGACATCAGTGCCGGAGCCAAAGACCTGATAGCCCGGCTGCTGAAACACAACCCCATGCACAGACTGCCCATCCAGGGAGTCCTGTCCCACCCCTGGGTAGTGGAGACCGCCACCAAGAAACCCACAACCATCAGCCAGGAGTAGCCCGGCCTCTGAGTCTCATTGTGTCCCTCCACCCAAAACCTGAGGTTTGTATGTGGGGGCGCAGCAGAGTAGAACACAGGCTGAACAAAGGTGTGAAACATGAAAACCAGTGTGCCGCTGATTTATCAGAATCTGCCCTATTGAGTTTAATATCACTTCATTTAAATGTCACTTCCTTATCTCTTTTATCTTCCTTTCCTTTTCTCGAATGGAATTTTATGCCTGTAAATATTTCAGTTTTATTCGTGTAATTATGAAATGTTAAGCTTTTCTAAAATGCCGTTACTTGAAATAAAAAGATGACTTATCTTTTGTGAAATATGTCACTTTGGAATTAAGCATTTGTGTCTGTTAGTGAAAATTATTTTTGTTTTGTCTTAAATGAATTTCAAACTCTAATTTATTTTTCTTTACTTGCACTGATATCCAATGAGCGACATTGTGTCTACACCCCGCCTCGTTTTTATTAAGCGGCCAGCAGAGGGCGCCAGCATACCACTAGAGTTCTCTTTGGAGCTCGTTACAGATAACAGTCAGTATTACATCCGTAGTTAAAGGTGGGGTTGGTAATTTTGAAGAAACCAGCTCGAGTGCGCTAGAATTTGAAAATACACAGCCGGAAAAAATCTGCCATTTCCTTACAGAGCCCCTCCTCCAACACACACGAACTGAGACTGCCAAG